GGGACTGGATATCTATTTCGCAGACGTAGCAGAGTACATGTTTTAGAGTTGAAGGACATGAGTGATTTTGGAACTACTCGTTTAATTGGTAAATGCTTACCTGAAGTTCAGCTTCATTGGTAGCACTGTTGGTGTTCTTCCGTATTTTTTAACTTGAATGAACTTTACTTTCCTTGTTCCTGTCGAGCTGTCCGCTCATGCTTCTTACTTTGTCGCTAACCATGTCTGGATGGGGATCAAAGAGGATTAAAATACGCCGAAGTTAGTGGACTGTGTAAATTGTTTTAAGCGAAAATGGCCAAGTTGTTCGGAACAGATCGGAACGATCTACCAGCCGGAGCCTAATTTACTGGTCAGTACCGCTGCATATGGGCCCGGTGATGCTATCAACAACATATGGTATATTTCTGAGGGTTATTTGCACTAATCCTTGTTGATCCTAATCGTGCAAAGCCGAATTAAAAATGCAGTCATATACACGGCGTGAAATATATGAATGTATAAGGTCTACATTATCATTTTACAGCAAATACGCAGTAGGCTGAACCAAATAGATTGAAGTCATGTAGTGAAGCTCATGGCTGGCCGGAGGTAGTCCTGCAGTAAGAGTCATCGGGTAGCAAGAATTAAGTAATCCACCTACGGTTTAAACACAACAACAGTATTCGACGTCAGTATTTCATTTGAGAGTGAGATTCGCGGTCGGACCATCCGCTGACTGAAGGAAAGCGTACGTGGACCTAGGCTTGTACATTCACTTTGGTCCTTTTAAACATGACCGCACATGCAGTCGTTTATAAAACGAAGGAACAGAAGAGGGTCTAAGGCTGAGCCCTGTGCTCCATTCAATTAATATGAATTCTGTTCTTATCTGATCCGGATTTACTCATCAAACATGCAGTCAAACTGCCGGTTGTTCTTCTATAAGTGACAGGGAGTTGCAATTCCATAAAATTATAACGGTTTACTCTGCCAAAGGGAGTGGTATAGAGATTTTTCGTTACTATTTATTTTTGCCTATCAATCCAAATTTGAAAAATAGCTGCAATTCATTCTCTAAAACAAAATTAGAAGAACGATAGGCGTCGTTTATAAGCACCGCACAGTATAATCCTTGCAGTGTCCAGACAAATGTCTGTAGCGACCTCTTATTCTAAGCCATGCTTTGCTTACATGCCTATGGGGCATGACCCAATTGTCTACCTTCCTTCCCTACCGGTCCGTGCGCGCTAGACGGTCCAGCCTCCGATTAAGGTCACGAACCTGTCTGGCCAACTGGCCAAACACCTTCCTAGGCGAAGTCATAAGCGGACCATAAGGTGGCGACTGCTTATTCTCAGACAGTCCCGGAACCAACGACCTACTGTTCGGTTATAGTTGTCCGGATCCGGTGATCTACTTGCCGGACTGCGCCTCTGGACTCTGGCCCATTC